GGAAGAATAAAAAAAAAGTCGATAACAAAAAGTGAAATAATAAGGGAAATTATGTAAAAATTTTATAAATTGTTTAATATAATTGATTGATACAGTAATGATTTAATTATGAATTTGATTAATATTGTTTTCAAATGACGTCACAGTGGAGACATTTTGATGTGAAGTCTTTGCCGCCATATTGGTTAGGAATAACTAAAAAATCTAATAAATATATTCATTTATAAACTTCTGTAATTTTTTATTATTTCTTGAATACAATATGAAGATGAATTTTTCACTTCAGACATAAATTATGATTTAACACAAATTCCAAAATAAATCACTCCACCATTTTATATCTGCATTTTCTACAAATTGTATTATAAAATGTAAAAGTTCACACTCAGTAAAAAAGTCATAATTTTCCATTAAGCAACCATGAAACAAACACTAAAACTTAACCTATCTTCACTCAGAGTTTAATCAGACGTTAACTTTTCACACCGAACACGTCAATTTGCATTTGTAATAATAATTCTACATAAACGTCATTTTTTCCTGGGTAATGAACGCAGTAGCTCTAGTTAGGAGCTGCAAGTTGATGCGATATCCAGCCACCTACATTGGATCCTATATTAAGCTTATGTATATGTATGATCCAAAATTGTATGATGTACGTCAAGTCCTTCTGCCACTTCTCTTCTTTTACAGTGAAACTACGTCGTTAGACTATGTTTTTCTAACGGGTCATAGTTCATCTTTTGTAACAAGGAAATATTATGTAACTTTCATATTTTTTTAGCGAGAATATGTAGCAGAGAATGTTGAAAGTAATACTTTCTTATTGATTTTTTGGGGTGATTCAATTATATGCATGTATAATTCAATTTGCATGTATAATTATATAATATGCATATATAATTCAATTTATATATACAATTATATAATATGAATTATATAATATGCATATATAATTCAATTTATATATACAATTATATAATATGCATATATAATTCAATTTATATATACAATTATATAATATGCATATATAATTCAATTTACATATATGATTATATGATATGCATATATAATTCAATTTGCATATGTAATTATATAGTATGCATATATAATTCAATTTGCATATATAATTTTATAATACGAATACATAATTCAATTTGCATATATAATTTTATAATACGAATATATAATTCAATTTGCATATACAATTTTATAATACGAATATATAATTCAATTTGCATATACAATTTTATAATATGAATATATAATTCAATTTGCATATACAATTTTATAATGTGAATATATAATTCAATTTGCATATACAATTATATAATATGCATATGTAATTCAATATATAATTTCAGTTTGAGATGCCAGTTATTCTAATTGGAACTAGGGTGAAATTATATTGGTGGAATTATGGAGATAGCTGGGGTTAACCCCTTTCTGCATAATGTCTCATATATGAGCGAAACATTGTTGAAAAATACTAAACTGTATTCTTATATCTATAAGTGCATGACATGCCATACATAGGCCAATCCTTCTTTTAATGAAAATTTGGATAATAAAAAGATTTTTTTTTTAAATTGCTAGCTTTTAACTACTAGAATTGAAAGTAACATATATGTATATGTTTTTCAGCTCTTTCTAAAAACTCATGAAGAAAGGGATTAAATCAGGGTAGCATTATAGTAGTAACTAGGGTGGAATTATGTTAGAAGTATAGTATCAACTAGGGTGGTATTAGGATAGAATTATAAGCAGCAGCAGTAGTAGTAGTAGTAGCAGTTGTAGCAGTTGTAGCAGTTGTAGCAGTAATAGCAACAGTAGCAGCAGTAGTAGCAGCAGTAGTAGCAGCAGCAGTAGTAGCAGCAGTAGTAGCAGCAGCAGTAGTAGTAGTAGTAGTAGTAGTAGTGGTAGCAGTTGTAGCAGTAATAGCAACAGTAGTAGCAGTAGTAGTAGTAGTAGTAACAGTAGTAGCAGTATTAGCAACAGTAGTAGCAACAGCAGTGGTAGTAGAAGTAGTAGTAGTAGTAGTAGCAGTTGTAGCAGTTGTAGCAGTTGTAGCAGTAATAGCAACAGTAGTAGCAGTAGTAGTAGTAGTAGTAACAGTAGTAGCAGTATTAGCAACAGTAGTAGCAACAGCAGTGGTAGTAGAAGTAGTAGTAGTAGTAGTAGCAGTTGTAGCAGTAATAGCAACAGTAGTAGCAGTAGTAGTAGTAGTAGTAACAGTAGTAGCAGTAGTATCAGCAGTAGTAGCAGTAGTAGTAGTAGTAGTAGTAGCAATAGTAGTGGTAGTAGTAGTAGTAGTAGCAGTAGTAATAGTAGTAATACTAGTAGTAGTAAAAGTAGTAGTAGTAAAAGTAGTAGTAGTAATAGTAATAGTAGTAATACTAGTAGTAGTAAAAGTAGTAGTAGTAATAATAGTAGTAGAAGTAGTAGTAGTAGTAACTAGGGTAAAGCCAGAATAGAATTATACAAACGACTAGGGTGAACGTAGAGTAGAATTATAGTACAGTGTAGAACTAGTATAGAATTATACTACTAACTATAGTGATACTACGAAAGAATTACACTACTAAGGTAGAACTACAACCCCCTTCCCCAACTATGAAAATACTTATAATTCAATACATAAAAATTTCTAAAAATAGCTATAGTTTCCCATAAAAAAAAACTTCTAAAAATACTTATAGTCTAAAAAATTTCTAAAAATGCCCCCAACTTGCCATATAAAAACTTCTAAAAATTCACTCCATCCCGTAAAAATTACACAGCATGCAAAACTGTCTAAAACCGTTCGGTCTGCAAAAACTACGAATGTTTGTAGTTCAGTGAATAAAATAGTCTAAAATTGTTAGCAGCAAGGTACGTAAAAAATGTGAACGTTGCAATGTTAGACGCAACATCGAGATTTTCGCGAACTCGCACAGTCCCACTGGTTAGGTTAGATTGATCTTTCATATCTTCTCGCAAAATCAAATTTCGTAGATCCTCCATCTTATTGACGTCAGACATCACATAAATGTCACGTGCTCGGACCGTGGAACCCTGGCTCTATACCGCGGAAAGTTTCTTCAATTAGAAACCAATTGATCGGCTTCATGGAGAGTTACCGCCCTAAAGTTATGTCGGGGCTCCTAGTTTAGCAGCCCGTCCAAAATAGAATTACAGCTATCGAGTTTGGCGGAGATCATTGATCTAATCATTCGCTATGTTCAACATAATACTATAACTAAATTATCTTCACTTAAATTTCTTCGACCGTTATCATTTTTTTTTATCAATCTGATAAAACGTTGGGCTATTATTCCGAGACAAGGTCAATTATAATCCGATGATATATAAAACTAGCGCAAAGCGACACTCGAGGCGTACCGTTTCGAACCTCAAGCTTTGATGAAAATGATCGCGACGTCTTAACGCGTTTAATAATGGTAGTTGTCAGTTATGGTATCCTGTTGCATGTCGGGATAATATAAAATCGTGAAATAGCGATTGTGACGTGTCGTTTTTAAGCTCGAGGTTAAACGAAGATGACTGTATAAACGTTTTCTTAATGTAGTTAATACAACATGGTTGCTTGTTGCATCATTTTGTTGCATATCATAATATAAAATTTGTAATAAAGTAGCATTTGTGACATATCTTGTACGTCAAGCTTAAACGAAGATGCCTACATGAACGTTTTATTATTACTGTTAATATAACATTGCTACTAGGTGTATCATTTTGTTGCATATCATAATATAAAATTGTCATAAAGTAGCATTTGTGACATATCTTGTATGTCAAGGTTAAACGAAGATGCCTACATGAACGTTTTATTATTACTGTTAATATAACATGGCTGCTAGGTGTATCATTTTGTAGCATATCATAATATAAAATTGTCATAAAGTCGCACTTGTGACATACTTTGAAGGTCAAGGTTAAACGAAGCTGCCTACATAAACGTTTTATTAATATAGTAAATACAAAATGGTTGCTTGTTGTATTATCTTGTTGCATATCATAATATAAAATTGTCATAAAGTCGCACCTGTGACATACTTTGAAGGTCAAGGTTAAACGAAGCTGCCTACATAAACGTTGTATTAATACAGTTAATACAAAATGCTTGGTTGTTGTATCACCTTGTTGCATATCATAATGCAAAATTGTCATAAAACGGCACCTGTGACATATCTTGAAGATCAAAGTTGAACACTAATGTTTTATTAGAGTGGTTAATACAAAATGGCTGACTGTCACTTATGTCATCTTGTTGTATCATCACAATAATATAAAATTATCAGAAAATTGCATTTGTGACATATCATTTATAAAGTCGCGATTTAATTAAATGATTGCAGGAATGTTTTATTAGTATGGTTAATACAAAATGGCTGACTATTGCATCATTTTGTTGCATATCGCAGCAACATAAAACACTTGTGACATTGAAGGTTTGATTTTCGTGAAAATTCATAAAAGTTTTATCGACATAGTGATTATAAAATAGCTGGTTGGCAGCTGTAACAAACAATAGAGTTATACCGCATGTCGTAACAAAAAATTGCAAAATATGGTATACGATTACGTCAATAGTCTTAGTACAAAATGGCTGGTTGTTACTTAAAAAGAATTATAGTTGTGTCACGTTGCATACCGCAACAATGATCATTTTTACGACAATTTGAAGTTCGAAAAATAAAGTCATATAGAGTCAAATAAAGTTTAATAATCTTTTTACTACAAAATAGTTGATCAGTTGTAACAAGAGTTATGTCATATTGCATTTCATAGCAATGCAAAAGAATCGCAAAGCAGCCTGCGGCAAATCTGACGAAACAATGCATCCCCTAACACAAATGCATCCCCTAATGATCAAATAATGGAAATTGAAAAAGTTGAATTACTATAAGAGATGTTTGTTGACAAATCCCATGAAAGTTTGCAATAAAATTCATTGGACAGGCAGACTGTTGCTAACGCATTAATAAAAGATCACTCACCAAGATGAGACAAGAATCGCAAGGAGTCTGAAACAATAAAAACGATTGAAATTAATATGGCTCACCGACAGAAAAAAAAGAATGTGTACGCGACTAATGTAATCCTCATGAAGAATATCAGATTTCGTTATTGTGAAGAGTAGACTGTATTCAAACTTAATTGAAAATCAATCTCGATAACATTTTTTTTTCTCTTTTCCCATGGAACAAGGCAATTTATTTTTTCAGAGGTCAATTTTTTATTTTGAGGGCAAGGGTTGTAGAGCATTAACCAGCCATTTTTAGGTTTATTAATTTTTTTGTAGGGATCTGCAATTTGAGTGTGGAATTTATAGGTTATAATTTTTATTTGCAATTCAATTCTAATCTTGACAATTTTTATCCTGGTAAGTATTTTTAAAATTAAATATATATTTATTGTAAGTATAATACTTCATTATTTGTATACAGGGTGCTACCTGTAACGCTACTCATGATTTTTCTCCCACTTCCAGTCACCTTACGAAAAAAAGTTTAGAACAATATTTGCAAGGTATGAAGCGCACAATAGATATTAGTAAAGCAAATTTTGAAAACAGTTTGTTCTCCTGGCAAAGTCAAGGTCACGTTGGGTTTTTTACGTAGAAACATACATTTTTTTATTCATAGCTTTAGAGGACATCGAGACGAATTCAAAACACATATTACATGATATTTTTATTAACATATTACTCGATTTA